GGGGGGGGGGGGGGGGGGGCAACCCAATCTTGGCAAACGAGAAGTATAAGCTACAGGCCGCTGATACTGTTTTGTATAGTTTCTATACGTCTTAGCTTTGTGTGAGTATTCGTGTCCAGTCGGGTGCGATGTGTGTATTCAGTTTGATGCAGGAACATGCCATGCTTCTGAACCTCGTATGGAGCTTTTGGAAACAAGAATTTGCTTTTGCTCTTTGGTTTCTGCAGCTTCGGGATTTGGGCTCGGAGTTCTGGTTTTCGCATTCTCATCAAACCCGAATTCTGTCGGTCTGGCTTGGGCTCCGGTGCAAGCTTCAGAGAAGAGCTTGTTGTTTGTTTAAGTTGAGGGTTCAGCTGTCTGGATTCAGCAGTCGCGTGATATTCTAGTACTTGCCGATCTTTGGACATCGCTGAAACCCTGAACCCAAACTCTGCAATCCAATGGACCTCGAAACAAGTACTTAAGCTAACCATGGCGAATGCTGAAACCTAACGGACCTAATCCTGCTCCGATGAAGCCACACTCGCAAAGCCTCGCTGCCGTTCCCTGAGCTCAGGTGGGGCCCTGGCCCTTTCCATGTATTCTCGCATCCTCAGGCAGAGAGGACTGTGTTTTCTAAGCCCAGTTCGTGTTGCGTTTGGACGCATTTGTGTCCGATCCCGGGGTTGGAAAAGCCTCGCCTTTTATCCTGGCGACACAGCCGCTCTCTGCCCCAAGTGTGGCGAGATCTTGAAGCTGTATGCAGCTGTGGCACTGCTGTTGCCGCCGCTCCTCCATCGCATCGACGAGTCTGCGAGCCTTGTAGGAGAAGTGAGATTGATCTGCAATGTAGGTTTCGATCTGAATGCTTGAAAAGGAAACCACAATCGACGGCTGTGCAGCACCGGTATTGCAGGATACATGCCGCAATTCATGGTAGGTGTCTACTTGCTTGCGCTGCGCAGGCCTTGACCACGTCGATCCACTCACCGTTCGGCCCGCGAGTGAAGCGTTGTAAATACTGGCGGTCCTGCAGATAGCAGCTGCTGGTGCCAGCCAATAGGACTCGGTGGCGGTGTGTTCCTCTCTGCTAGTTCCACCGTTCCACCACCGTTTTCTCAGGACTCTTGCTAAATAGCATCGGCCCTGGCCCGCCAAACACGAAGTCCCGAGAGAACGAAATGCAACGCTCCACACCCAACGCCAGTGGCCCAACGCCGAACCTCGAACAATTTGTATGGGCCGTTCACCACGGCAGACACTGCAGGAGTCAACTAGCTAGCCTATCTATAGCCTCCTACCACCAGACTTTCGCTGTTACTGGCCATGCTGGTTCGCTTTTCATAGGTCAACTATGCGGCATAGAATTCCGTGTATATGGACCTAGTCTGCAAACTCAGGGAATATTTGTGAGACCAACAGCTACCGAAACTTTGCAGCCGGTCCTGCTGGCCCTCTTCCGGAACGTATACGTACGAATTGTACCTGCGCAATGAGCAAGTGCACTAAGCCCTCACGGTTCTGAGGACACTTCAACCGGAGGGCGCACCAGGTCTTCATGGGGATTTGCGGCACGGGAGCGAGGGAATCCTCCGGCGACGGCCTCTGCATGCTCAGGACTTGCGAACCAGCAGCCACTAGAGCCTAAAATGATCAGACCGTGGTGTTGGGATATCATGACAACCACAAGGGAACAACTGTTTAAGGGTTGCAGCATTTCTACTTGTTGAGGCTCCCTGGTTCCCTCATGCGAACATTCGGAACACCGACTTCGTCTCTTCCGTGTCCACTTCCCACTTCTTCGGAGGATTACTTCAAAGATTTCGGAGTGCGAGCGAGGGGGCATGCACTTGCAACAGACAATGGAACCTCTCCGTGTGCTGTGGTTGACAAAAGACTTTCTGGTATGCACACCTTTGTTTAACACCTCAAAAAGCTACTTCTTGCAGCCAGGCGTTCGGCTCCAGACTCCAGCAACATCAGAACATGATTTGGAGCCTAAGTCCTTTTCACTGTGGGGCTTGAATTTCGCCCGCACTCAAGCCTGCATTTGCGAGAATCATTTTTGTTTCATTGTTTATCCTGGAAGCCCCTAAGCATTGCATCAGAAAACGCATGCAGTGCCAAACCCTCACACATGTTGAGCCCCCGGCGTCGCACAGAGCTCGGACCATGCAAAAGTCGCACTGTGCTTCGGCACAGCACCATAAAATTCGGTGCCGCCTGGGATCCTGGGGCTGAGTGTTGTGTTTTGATTCACCGGGTCAGTTTTGTTGGCTTCGCGGCTCATTTTGGCGGCGTTTGAGGTTCAACTCTGTGCTGGGCACGTTGGGCCTAGATTGAGGGCTTGGCGGAGTGGATCTTCAGCCGAGCATGAAATCCCTTCAGACTTCACGTACGAATCCTGATCACACATGGAGCTTTGAGACTTGCATATCTCCAAACGCAAGCACGCTTGCCTCCATACCCCGGCTCTCATCTAGCACAAAAAGCAGAGGTGAGTCCACCAGCTGTTCCAACCAAATCAAAGTTCCCCCGCTGTACTTGTAGGGAGACCCCTGGCGCCACTGTTGCAAGTGTTGCAAGGTGCCTGTGACCTTCCCGTCCTGTCTGAGAGTCGAAGAAGAACACCCCGCAAACCGTGAGCCAAACAAGCTGCATCTTGGACCGCTGGCCGTCACAGCTACAGGACAAGAACTCCCTGAAAGTTGCAACTCCACTCTCCTGGGTCGTGGAGGCGCCACACGAAGAGGTGGCAAGTATTCCACCTCCTTCGCCAATCTTTGTCATGTGCCATGGGAGACAAGTGCTGTGGCCATCTGAGCAGTCGATGCTCTTCAGTGTATCCGCCCAAACACCCGAAACCTGAGATCTTGAAATGTAAATTTCAGCTTCCAAACCGTATCCACATGAAGCTTATGTCGAAGGCCTTCGGATTTCCGCAGTTGTGGGTGTTTGGAGTCAAGTCCCTGACGCTCAGGTGGGGTCCTGCTACTCCTTGCAGATTCATGGTCTACCCACAAGCGGACTTCGTCTTGGGCTGCAAGGCTTCAGGGCTTCAGGGCTTCAGCGTCGTGCTTGCACCTCGGGGTAGCACCGAAAAGATGAAGCTATGCTCTACATGTTTCTTCAGCGTGACACTTTCGATCCTAAAAGCACAAAAACATCCAAAAACCCTAAACCACCTGAAGCACATACACCCGATCCTAAACAATCTTGCTTTCACCATGTCGGAATTTCAGCTCCGCACCTCGGGAACTTGCAGCTGCCGCTGGCCTTCAAGCTTACTCCAGCTATCGGGACTTGACTCTTCATGAACGTTTGCTATGAGGTACAGTACCTACAGCATACTGAAATTCGGACACGTCATAATGCTCGTCTGTGGAACAACCCCAACTGAACAGGGATTCGGATTTGCGCATTGCGCCGATCTGCGGTGTGTTGACACCAAGACACAGGATGACCCTGGACAGAATCCAGTAGTACTTACCGCCATGCTTGGATTTCGTCCTTCTCCTGGGGCAGTTCACGTTCAAGCTGCAAGCCGAGGAGACTTGGATAACTTCGGTGCATAAGATGTTGGTTTAGGCTGCTTGGCGATCATCTGAATATATGAGACAGAGGACAAGAACACAGCTGAGATAAATGCCTACATTTTCACGATGATATTCCGACCGGTTCCTTGGTATAACTATCGTATAATCTATACCACCACACCTACGCCAGTGGGTGAGGGATCAAAAAAATTAAACCACAAAGATCAAAAAACAATTAAATTATGGATCAAAAAAATTAAATCAGGATCAAAAAAAATTAAACGGGGATCAGTAATAGTCGTAGTAGTACTGTAGTAGCAGTCCAAGTAGTAGTGGTAGTAGTAGTCGTAGTAGTAGTAGTAGTAGTAGCAGCAGCAGTCGTAGTAGTAGAAGTAGTAGTAGTAATACATAAGGGCTTTCTTGGATTTTTGGGGCTTGGAAGTTACTATGGAAAACCTCTCGGATAGAACTAGTAGGCCTGTTTCAATCTAAAAAGCAGCTCAAGGTCATCACTGGTCATCGTTTTTTTCGGTCATTTTTCCGTTTTTTTGGTATATTTTTCCGTTCTGCTTGGTGGAGCTTCGTGCGGCAATTCTTTAGATTGTGCAGCTAGTCAGCTTGGCTCCGAAAATATCTGGTTCTGTTTTTTTGGGTGGAGAATGCTTTTTTGTTTTTTTCTGTGTGTTTTGGTTGGTCTTAGCAGCAATTGCTGCGGTTTTGTTTTAAGCTATTGCGGCATTGCACTTAGCAGGTTGGCATTTTGCTTCTGTTTTGCATTAACCTGTTGTGGAATTGCACTTAGCAGGGTGGCATTTT